CATTACAATCCCCACTTTGAGGGTGAGCAAACAAGTGGGAGAGATAGCTGGAGACCACACGGTAGGGACAGCCCCGGTTTTTGAGGGGTTTTGTTTTGTTTTTCTGAGATAGAGTTTCTGTTGCCCTGAGTAAGTGCCGCGGCATCATCATAGCTCACAGCAACCTCAATCTCTTTGACACAAGTTTTCCTTTTGCCTCAGCCTCCTGAGTAGCTGGGACTACAGGTGCCCACCACAACACCTGGCTAATTTTTCTATTTTTAGTAAAGATGAGGTCTCACTTTTGCTCAGGCTTCACATACCTCGGCCTCCCAGAGTGATAAGACTACAGGTGTGAGCTACTGTGCCCAGCTGACAACCCAGGTTTTAAACACCCCTGCCTGACTCCAAAGCCCGAGGTCCTGCTCAGGCCCTCCAGCCGCTTTAGATAACTGGAGGACAAAGTGAGATAGGTTCTCCCCCAGAAGCACATTCCTTAGGTAACAGAAAGCAGCTACTATTCACCAGACACTCCTTGAGGCATCAGGTATACAGAGGCCTCTGAGACCCACGAGACCCAAGACAAGATCATTAGAAAACAGCCTGCCTCGTGTTTGATCCAGATACGTGCAAGAAATTGATTCACCATGGTGGGGGAACACGCTGGGGTGCTTGGAGAAGGGCTTCCTAGCAGTGATGACATTTAACTGAGTCATTTAAGAAGTGGGGGCATTTACAAGGAAAATTGAGTAGGGCAGGGATCAAGAGGCAGTGGAACCACTACTAGCAAAAGTTCAGGGTCCAGAAGCCGACAGAGGAGGCACGTGGTGTAAGGAAGGAGCTGGCCAAGATGCCTGGAAGTGGCCATTTGTGTATGTTTGTACTTAAAAAGAAAGAAAGCCTAATAGAGTCTCTTCATTCCCCACCTTCCTCAGGTGACCAACACCAAGAAGGAAACTCGCTTTCAGTGGTTCTTCCAGAGGATGGAGGTGCCAGATGGTCAGTATGACCCAGAGACTGGAGAAGGACTTCTCTGCTTCGAAGAGGTAAGTGCGGCTCCAGCTTCAGGGTTTCCCCTCTCGGCCAGCTGTATGCCAGGCAGTGCCAAGAGGACTGGGTTGGGAGTTGGGAGCAGGGCCTGGACTAAAGGAGGGTATGTGAGACATTCGCCCCAGGTACAAAATGTAAGGAGCACCTAAAAACTCAGTAATCAAGATGAGTAAGATTTATGCAACATTAAAAAAAAAAATTGAGGTGGTGCCTGTGGCTCAAGGAGTAGGGCGCCGGCCCTATATGCCAGAGGTGGTGGGTTCAAACTCAGTCCCAGCCAAAAACTGCAAAAAAAACCCAGAAAACAAAATTAATGCAAGAAAGGGCCATAAAAAATATCAAACCTTTTGATAGAAACAGAATCAGTGGCTCAGCGCCTGTGGCACAAGTGGCTAAGGTGCCAGCCACATATACCTAAGGTGGCAGGTTGGAATCCAGCCCGGGCTGCCAAACAACAATGACAGCTGCAACCGAAAAATAGCCGGGTGTTGTGGCAGGCGCCTGTGGTTTTGGGAGGCAGAGGCAGGAGACTCGCTTGAGACCAAGAGTTGGAGGTTGCTGTGAGCTGTGATGCCACAGTACTCTACCCAGGGGAATAGCTTGAGGCTCTGTCTCAAAAAAAAGAAAAGAAAAGAAAAGAAAGAAACAGAATCAGTATTATTGATTTTTCCTTTTGCCTGGTCTCTAGTACTGGCCCTGCCAGTGACGGGGCAGGCTGGGCTAGGCACTGTCCCTCTCCCACCTCGGCTTTCATCTGTAATATGAGTGGGGGGAAGGGACGCTATCTGCACACTGCCTTCCTCCCCAACAGTCTAGGGTTAGTACAAGAAGGATGACTCGTGTCAAGCGGGGCTGGAGCTCGTTGTCCCACCCAAGTCCTCTCACAACCTTTGGAGGAATGGTTAAGAAATATACACAAGGTTTGCTCTTAAACCATCAATATTTTTCTACCCGGCTGCTGGTTTCTGTGGCCTCTCTGGGTGTCAGGGAAGACTGCAGCAAGCATACATTTGTTCGCTGATGAGGAAGGAAATAATGATCTCAGGATTTCCTCCCAAATCCTGGCCTGGACGATGCCAAGTTGGCCTTTGTCACCACCATGCAAGCTCCACGAACAGGGCGTGTTGATAAGTAGGGGCTTAATATCTATGGAGCTTTATAATAATCCATACCTTGGTGCCAACTTTCTGGCTTCCAAAGGGTCACCTCCCTCCATCCTTACAGCAGCAGTTGCATGTAGGGAGGGCCAGGGTTGTGCCACTATTTTACAGATGAGGATACAGAGGCTCAGAGGGTTTCACTGTGAAGGCACAAGCTTGGCAAGTGGGATCAAAAGCTGCTGTGATCACCACCACCCCCAGGTTCCAATCCGCAAGTTAAGAGCTGCCTCTGCCTTGGATCCTGCCCCAAACCCACTATATGGAGACAGTCCAAGGAGGAAGAATCTCTGAGGGGCCTGGTCATGAGTGGTCACTTCTAATCTCTGGACCTTGCCTTAAAAGCACAGCCCAAGTTCTTGCTTTGTTGAGTGTCACTTCAGGTTTAATTTGGGACTGACAAATGTGTATCAGAAAAGAAGGACCCTCTGGTACTGAGCAAAAGAAAACACACTTCTGGGGTGGCGCCTGTGGCTCAAAGGAGTAGGGTGCCAGCCCCATATGCCGGAGGTAGCAGGTTCAAACCCACCCCTGGCCAAAAACTGCAAAGAAAGAAAAACACACTTCCTTCTGGGGAAATGCAGCAGGCAGGGGTATCCCCCCATCCAGGGCCTCCTGGCGAGTGAAGGGTGTGCCAGGTTCAGACAAGCTCTGTGGGAGGGCTGGCCATGTTATGCTCAGAGCAGCTGTCAGTGAATTCAAGTGGGGGGAGTGTGCTTGTTTCTGCCCTCGGCTCCCCCACCCTACCCCCTCCCTGGGCCCAGACAACCCCTGAACTAGGAATCTAAGGGTGCTGGAAGGAGCCTTAGAGATGGCCCAAGCCAGGGCAGTAAACTAAGGCCCAGGGAGGGGAAGGGCCCTGCCTGAGAGTTGAGGGCAGGCCTGGAGCCCAGGCCACCTGACTGGCTGTCCACCACTCCTCCTAGAACCCATTCTGACACGGCCATCTCTCATCCTGCTTTCCAGTTTTCCAAAGAGGATAAAGGAATTTACAGAGCGGTGGTTTCTGACGAGCGAGGGTTAGATGACACCATACTGGACCTCACAGGGGAAGGTAGGAGCTAGGAGCGGAGAGATCCGCCAGGAGGGCTGTGGGAACAGAGGCTGTGACATGAGCTGCAGGGTGAGATTTATGGGATCCCCACGTCACTTGGGGAAATAGAGGCACAGAGAGGTTAAGTGACTTGCCCAAGGTTTCACAGCTAGTTAGTGCAGGGGCTTGCTCTATGTGGCTCTTGACGCCTGTGCCCACTGCAGTATGCCACAGTGAGCCCAGGCTTGGAGACCCAAAGCTTGAGTTCACCTTCCTGAACACCCTGGGCTCAAGCTCTGCATCAGGCTGCTTGGCCCAGCCTAGAAGAGAACTGTCAGGTAGCCCTATCTGTCCTCTATCCCCGGCACTCCCCCAGTCTCTCCTATTGCTGAGTGCCTGAGCTGTGGGAGCCATCCTGCAGCCCCACCCCACCCCTGTGTCCCCAGAGCAGCTTGCGAGCTCCACTAGCCTTTCCTGAGGACGTCCCCATGCTAGATGTCCCTCGGTCCCTGTGCTCACTGACCATCCTCTCTGTCTCCCTCCAGCTCTGGATGCTGTCTTCACTGAGCTGGGCAGGATTGGGGGTAAGCAAGCCTCCTCTGTGCCCAGCCCAGCCCTGATGCCAAGTAGCCTCCAAAGGGCCTCCCACTGACCTTGGCTGCCAGCGTGGGTTTAGTTTCCAACCTCAAAGACTGGAGAGAAACTCCAGCTTCTTTGCAGCCCACCATTGCCCCCGCAGCACTCCTCGGGCTGGTCCCAAAACGTACTGCCTCAGGGAAGCCTCACCCTTTTTCTCTGTCTCCCCAGCCCTCTCTGCCACCCCGCTGAAAATCCAGGGTACTGAGGAAGGGATCCGGATCTTCAGCAAGGTCAAGTACTACAACGTGGAGTACATGAAAAGCACCTGGTTCCACAAGTAGGTCACCTTGCCCAGAGCCCACCCAGGCTCCCCTCCTGTCTCCAGCATGGTCCTCCCCGCAGAGCTCAGTCCTGGGGACTGGCAGAGACAAGAGTCTCCATAGGGGCTGGGAAAAGGATCAGCCATCAGAGGAGTTGGGTGAGATTTCCTAGGGAAGGTGGGAGCATTGCTGGGAGGACCATTTTTCCAGAATCTCTATGGCCACAGCAGGATCATAGTCTCAGAACAGCACTGCAAGAGTGAAGAAGCAGGAGACAGGCTTGGCACCCCTAGCACAGTAGTTACGGTGCTAGCCACATACCCCAAGGGTGGTGGGCTCTAACCCAACCTGGGCCAGCTAGACAATAATGACAGCTGCAACAAAAAAATAGCTGGGTGTTGTGGCGGGCACCCATAGTCCCAGCTGCTTGGGAGGCTGAGGCAAGAGAATCACCTAAGCCCAAGTGCTAGAGGTTGCTGTGAGCTGTGACGCCACAGCACTCTACCGAGGGTGACAAAATAAAACTGTCTCTAAAAAAAAAAGAAGCAGACAGTCCAGTGGCCGTGTGCCTCTGTGGGCCTCTGCAAACTTAGCAAACCCAGGCAGCCAGGCTTAGGGGAAAAGAGTAGGCAGAAGGACCTGGAGAGCTGACGACTAAGGACCAGAGTCATTAATTTGTCCACAGAGACCCAGCCAGGAGCTAAGTGACAACAGATGATATGCGAGCTGCATCTTGTGGAACACACATTGCTACACTCACTCTACAGAGAAGGTTGACTGGCTTGATCAAGCTTGTCAAATAAGTGAGAGTCAAGGCCAGGGGGAATTTCAGGTCAATGGGCTCCTTCCCCAGCCAGTCTCTGAGCCCTGTGACTAAGCACCGAGGTGTCTCCTCTATAACACCACACTGGGGACAAGCTAGTGTGTCCAGGAATGAAATTTTTTTTTTTTTTGAGACAGAGTCTCACTATGTCACCCTTGTTAGAGTGCTGTAGCATCACAGCTCACAGCAACCTCAAACTCTTGAGCTTAAGCAATTCTTTTCCCAAGTAGCTGGGATTACAAGCACCTGCCACACCACCTGGCTATTTGTTGTTGTTGCAGTTGTTTGGCTGGCCCAGGTTGGGCTCGAACCCACCAGCCTCAGTGCTGTAACCACTGTGCTATAGGCGCTGAGCCCAGGAATGAAATTTTTAAAAGGAAGGGAAGGAGTTTTAAATTTGTGTGGTTTCTAAAGTTTAGGGGAGAGTGATTGAGGGAAGAAACTCTAGGACAGTTTAGGATGAGAAGAATGGGCCAGGCGTGATGGCTAACACCTGTAATCCTAGCACTCTGGGCGGCCGAGGCAGGAGGATCCCTTGAGCTCAGGAGTTCGAGACCAGCCTGAGCAAGAGTGAGACCCCCCCTACCCCTTATCAAATAGAAAAACTAGCCAGACACAATGGTGCATGCCTATAGTCCCAGCTACTAGAACACCTAAGGCAGGAGGATCACTTGAACCCAGGAGTTTGAGGTTGTTGTGAGCTAAGCTGAGGTCATAGCACTCTAGCCTGGGCAACAGTGAGACTCTATCTCAAAAAAAAAAAAAAAGAGAGAGAGAGAGAGAGAGAGAAGAATGAAGTGGTGAGGAAGTGGTTCCTGAGAGTGGAGGCCGTGGACCCTGGAGCACCATTTCCTTAGGGTCCCAGCTGCAGGACACATCACAAATGCAGCCTCAGCACGGGCACACAGTTGTTGTGCCACAAGATTTGATGACCAATGAATGAATGGAGGCTGGATGATGAATGGAAGTGAAAGGGTATTCACTCTATCCTCGAGTGTCTCCTGGATGGCCACAGATCTGGAGTCAAAACTCCAAGAGAGCAGTGTGGGGCAGGGGTGTCTGCTGACAGCAGCAGCCAGCCTTACCCACTCCCCTGCCCTCATGTTCAGAGAGAAACGCCTCGAGAGTGGTGATCGAGTGAGGGCAGGCACCACCCTGGATGACATCTGGCTCCACATCCTGGACCCCAAAGACTCAGACAAGGGCAAATACACTTTGGAAATAGCTGCCGGGAAGGACGTCCGGCAGCTCTCAACGGATCTCTCGGGGCAGGGTGAGCCCTCTGCCCATCTGTCTATTTGGAAGATCCCAACATCTTTTGGGGGGACTCTTGTCTCCCCATCCAATCCTGGCACTGCCCCAGGAGACCCTCAGAATGGGGAAGACAGTGGAAGACAGGCCCTGTCCCTGGGGTCGTGAAGCAGAGACCCTGATGTCCCCTCCCTCCTGTCCTTACAGCTTTTGATGACGCCCTAGCTGAACATCAAAGACTGAAGTAAGTTTCCTCTGTGGTTCTCGTCACGGGCTCCCCTGGGCTGTGGCATGAATTGTGCCCCTTGGTGGGAGCCCCCACCCATCAGGAGTGTCCTTTAACAAATGGGACGTCATACCTCGTTCCCACTTCTGTTTTTCAGAGCCTTGGCGATCATTGAGAAGAGTGAGTCTGCTGATACTTCTGCTGTGTTTATTTCTGAGTTTGGGGTGGACTTCCCAGGAGCTCAAGCCCTGGTTCCCTGGGAAAAGCGGGGTGTTTGTGGGTCTCTGGGCCCTCACGAGCTGCTGGGGAGACCTGGGTGGGACAGACAGGGAGTTCGGGGTTACCTGGGGTCATTGGTGTGGAAGCTCCCATCAGGGGCACATGGGTAACATTGGTGGGACCTGGAAGGCAGAGTATGGAGAGTAACAAGGTAGGGGCTGCCCAAGGGAGCTGATGGCGTAGCAAGGGGACTAAAGCTGAGGCTGAGGCTGTCAGGGTCTTGGGGCCATCAGATTCAGGATGAAGTCCAAACCCAAAGTGCATGGCACAGCCACTGGGCTGCTGGGGGAGCTGTGACCAGTCCACCAGCCCAGGTTTGTCCCATTGGCCAAGCCCTTGCCCAGATCTAAAGGGCCCCAGAGTAGGAGTCTGGCCTTCTGGCCTTTGTGGCCCAGCGGATAAGAGGGAAAGACCCAGGCTGCAGAGCACAGCAGCCCCTGCCAGCCTGGCCACAAAGGAGACTGGATGACTCTGAGAACTGGAAGAGAATTAACACACTGCTGGCTTGAGGCCATTTGTGGGAGGGTGTAATTTGCCCTCCATGGCATCAGTGTCCCTCACTCACACACTTGACAGGAACTATATTCTGGAAGGGGTGATGAGAAGTCTCAGCAGCTGTGCAGTGAGAAGGGGCAGGTGTGAGGAGGGGGCAGGGTTGTCCACCTTGGTGGGGAGAGCCCAGCCTGAGACCAGCCCCAGTCTGCTCAGGCTCAGAAGAGGCTCTCATGCCACCAAACTAATCATTTTCCTAACGAGAACATCCCCCCCCATCCCAGAGGGCCTGGTGAAAAGTCTTGCCCACAACAGCATCCATCTCTGGGGCCTTCCCTGCCCAGTTCAGGTCCTGCTTCTCTTTCATGCCTTGGGCAGATGCCACCACGTTGGGTTTTGTGCCCTTCTCTGATGCAAGGCCTAGGCCTCCCCTTCCACTCCCACAGCCTCATTATAGCATCAGGGACACACGGGCTTTCTGCTCAGAGATTTATAATCACACTCTCTTCCTGCCCACAGGAAGGGACCCACTAGGTCCCTTGCTTGACCAGAGTCAAAGGGTCCTGAAAGCTTCGATCTCACTTTTCCCCTTTTCCCAACCTCTTGATCACACCTTTTGTGTGGGCTTTGCCTGTTTTAAGGCTCAGAGCCATCCATTTGTCTGCTTTCCCAATTCTTGAGGGGAGGGACCCCTCAGTCATCTCCAGGTCCTACCAATCTCTCTCTCTCTCTTTTCTTTTTTTCTTAGACAGAATCTCACTTTATTGCCCTTGGTATAGTGTGGTGGCATCATAGCTCACAGCAACCTCAAACTCTTGGTCTCAGAGAATCCTCTTGCCTCAGCCTCCCGAGTAGCTGGGACTACAGGCACCCAGCACAACGCCCGGCTATTTTTTTTGAGAGATAGTCTTGCTCTTTCTCAGGCTGGTATTGATCGCCTGAGCTCAAGCAAACCACCTGCCTCGGCCTCCCAGAGTGGTAGGATTATAGGCATGAGCCACTATGCCTGGCCCACCAATCTTAACAATAAGCTCAAATTGGTTGGTGCCTGTGGCTCAGTGAGTAGGGGGCCGGCCCCATATACCAAAGGTGGCAGGTTCAAACCCAGATCCGGCCAAACTGCAACAAAAAATAGCCGGGCACTGTGGTGGGCGTCTGTGGTCCCAGCTACTTTGGAGGCTGAGGCAAGAGAATTGCCTAAGCCCAGGAGTTGGAAGTTGCTGTGAGCTGTGTGACGCCATGGCACTCTACCGAGGGCGATAAAGTGAAACTCTGTCTCTAAAAAAAACTCAAGTCAGTGGCAGAAACACATTAGTCCTATATCTTCTACCGATGACTACAAGGTAATGTGCAATACCGTTTTAAAGATTTCCATCCAAAATAATGAAAATAGGAAAAAAAAGACTTGCTCAAAATTCAATCTCAATTCTGCAGAAACCTGTTTCTGAGAAGCAGCTAGAAGGAAAACATTCATTGTCGGCATTTCTTACTTCCCTTCCAGATCGTGCCAAAGTGGTGAGGGGTCTGCCAGACGTGGCCACAATCATGGAGGATAAGGTACCCACCCCCCTGGCTCATGGCCAGCACCCGCATGCTGTGTTCCCCTGGGCACTCATCACAGATCATGAAACGAGGTAGCACTGTGGATTTGAGAGCCAGAGAATGGCTGGTTGGCCAAAGGGACTAGATGCGCTAAGTGACATACCTTGCTGATTGCATGTGCTACAAAGGAAAGCCGCTGGGCCCTGGGTCAGACCTGGCTAGGTGCTCAGTAGCTCAGCTCTACCCCCATCTGGTAGACAGCCCTGGGTGTCAGGGACTTCCGTCTAACTTCAGTCTCCACAGGAGTTCTACAGATAACCCCTAAAAGCCTTTCCGCAGCTAAAGTTAGGAAATTTAATGTTTTCCAAAAGGGCAGCTAACGATTTTATGGTGTCTCCTTTGTGTCAGGTCCTGTCCCCTGTATGTTACCTAGTTTAGTGTATTTAACCAGCAAGGTACCCACATGAAATAAGGTATTAGTTATTACTTGTTACACTTTATAGCTGAGGAAACTGAGATCCAATGTGGTGAAGGGACTCACCTAAGGTCACCCCACTTGAAGGAGAAGAGCTGAGATTCGCAGCCAGGCAGCCTGATGGCAGCACCTATGTGTTTAATCATGATACTACAATGCTTCTCATTAGAGCTGGTCCAAGAATTTTCTTTCCTTTCTTTTCCTTTTTTTTTTTTTTTT